CCTGCTGGAATGATCATAATTATATTTAATTACCTGAACTTGAGAGTTCTCAGCATATAATTGAAGTGGCATGATAATTAAATATTTCATTCTCTCAGATTTCAGCCAAATCCTCAACATTGAGAATATGCCTATGATTCTCACAACTCTTGGCCTGGTTCTTTGCCATTAGAGACACACCCTATCACCCCTGAGGTGTGAGCAGAGGTATTCACACTTGAGCTGAAGGCCTTACATCCGAGTTCTGGGTCCAAGTTATTATTCCAGGAGTGTGAAATTCCAATCTGTAACCAGTCTATTAGAGACTAACTGCTCCCATATTCCTTTCTTGCCCTGTGGTAGATGGAAATCAAAGTCAAGAGTAACTGCATCAAACACACCACACACCTTGCAGCTACCATGGTGTGATTTTTGGTACCCATTACCTGTTTACTTTTTCAAGCACATCTGTCAGTCACTCCAGGGGCTGAGCAACCTTCGAACTGACAGTTGGAACAAGGCGGGGCTGTGTGGCCAGGCCACGAAGCACAGAACTTCTGGGGTGCCACCAATACTCGAATTCTCCACTGGAGCACAGTGACAGAAACTCAAAGGAGTGTCAGCTGCTTGCCCACCATAATAGAGTGATGCTAGTCATCAGACACTGCAGGCAGGTGGGCAGCACTGGCAGAGATGGCCAACATGCCGTGTGCAGCTAGAGGGAAACTCTAGACCAGTGGTTCTCAGACTTGGGCATGAATCAGAATCACCAGAAGGGGACCTTTTAAGACACAGACTGCTGTGCAGAACTAGAGGAACTCCGGTATGTTTTTTCGTGGTTCTCAGACTCTAATGCATGTGAATCATCTAGAGATTTTCTTGAAAATGCCTGTTTTCAAACTCTATTCCAGAGATTCTGACTCAGTACAGGGTATGGCTCGCAGGAATGGGCATAGGTCTTTTAAAAAATTTTTTAAACAAGCTTTCCTGATGATTTTGATCCAGGTTGACTCTTGGCAACATTTGGGAAACAATGCCCTATAGTGGGTCACCTGGGCCATGTGACTTTCTCTTCTTTTCTAATGTGGTCAGGTTATTACTGCTCTCCCCAGTGAGAAATGTGAAGGGTTTCCAAAAAGAAAACAGGTTAGCCTCCTCCCATGGGCAGACAACTCTAACCTCAGGATTGAAAACCAGGGTTTAATATTCTAAGCTGAAAATCTCTGAATTGCTCTCAGCAATTACATCTTCCTTAGTCACTAGCTTGCTCCCCATGGAAAAGAAAGTGGGTATCACTACACACACTCAAAGTACAGTCATGCGATGCTTAATGACGGGGATACATTGAGAATGCGTTGTTAGGCAATTTCATTGTTGTATGAACATCACACAACACAAACCTGGATGGTACAGACTACAACACACCTACAATTTCATGGGACCACTGTCATATATGCAGTCCATCACTGACCGAAACATAGTAATGTGGCACATGACTGTACTAAGAACTCACTTCCAACTGTATTGTTCAAAGATTACTTGGTTTGGGGAACTGTAAGGAGGCAAATCTCACCTTGTTACACAAAGAAGCTGTCTAGCTGAAGTTCAGCAAACCTTTCCTACCAAGTAGTCACAACCCATGTAGAATGAGTTCCATGACCAAAAATTATTGAGTATTTCAATGACAAAACTGTAAGTGATGGAAGTTATATGCAAAAATATTATTTCAAATTACCTTGAGATTTTGTTTTAAATCCTTGCATAACAATGACGGTGAAGTTTGAGATTAAATAGTTTCTCTACTGGAAAGAAACTTCAGAAGGTATGTTATTGCTAACTGCTATTTTTTGTTTTGGCAGCTGGCTGGTATAGGGACCCAAACCCTTGACGTTGGTCTTGTGACACTGTGTTCTAACCAGTTGAACTAACCGGACAGCCCACTAACTGCTATTGATGCTAACCATCACAATGAAAAATCTGCAAAGAAGGTATTTGGGAAAATTTCACAAGTAGCCCATGGAATATTGGTCCTGTCCATCCTCGACTTCCATCCTAAATTCTATTCGGGAAGCAATCCAATGATGATGGGACCAGGCAAATATGTTATAGCACACCCACACATTATAGCCACGATAAAAAAAAAAAAATGAGGAGCTATTCTGCTAAGTGAAAAAGGCAAGGTAAAGAAGTGTCTACGATATACTAGCTTTTGTCCACTGAAGCAAGGGAAGATAATCTACATTTTCATTTCCTCTTGCAAGCATATGCATAATGTAATGATGCAAAAGCAACCAGAAGCAACGGTTAACTTTGTGGGAAGGGGCAGGAACTGAACAGATGGATGACTGATGTGATGGAGAATTTTTAGTATATACCTTTTGTACTTATTTATGTGTTAAACAATGTGAATGTATTACATATTTTTAAAAATATTTTTTAAAAACACCTCTCAGTCCCAGATTTCTACTCACCTGTATCAGGAATTATTAATCTACCAGTTTCGGCACATGGTGGAGAAGAATGAAAGTAATTATATCCTCTACCTGCACCAGTAAACATAAAGACTTCTGAGAATTTCCTTACGTTAACAATTTTTTAAAGTACAAAAATCAAAAACAATCCCCAGAAAATATTTTCACTGAATGTTTCTTGTTTATAAAAGGTAAATGAAATTCAATTACACAGAGAGCATATAATGTTTAGGCTGTAAAACCTTTCTGTGCAACAATACATTGACACACAACATATGAAAATAGCTTGAATACAAAAATACAGTGTGATCCAGCAAATGGCACCAAATTAGAACAATTTTATTATTTAACATAATAACCAATGTATATACATTGTCCTCCCAAATAAGAAACAATTTGATTCCAAAGTTTAAAATGCAGTTTCCAAAGTGAATCTTTATTGTAAATTGGAAGGAAAAAAAAAAAAAGTCCTGCCAATTAACACAAACTTAATTTTGATCCTTGACTAAAATATGCACCCTGTACCAATCACCTCTCATACAAAAATGTATATTATAAATAAAACTTTCAAAAAAGACCTTGGATGTTTTATTGCACATCATACAAAACGTTCGCCACTATCTGAAAAGCTTTCAGCCCTTCACTGTCTTTTATATTTGGCTTAAAAGAATGTTAAGCTGTTTAAAATACCTACTCAAATTTGGGTGAAAACAACACTCTGCAGATATTAGCATATCTAGGATCATACATGATGTATACCAGAAACATAATCTTACTGGACTGCTTCTGTCACTTTTTTCTAAAATAAGAATGACTTTTGTTTTCTACTGTTAGAAACAATTATAGGAGATCTGAACAAATTCAAAGTCCTGTTCAAATGTCAGTTTTCTTCTTTTCAAATAGAAACCACATGCAGAGGGATTTTACCCAGTCACACATTTCTACTTCCTCTTAGGACCAGCCCTCCCTGAAGCATGTATTGTTAAAGATCAAACTACAGGGTTTCTAATAATGTTGTCCATTATTAACAGTTATTGTTTTGGTCTCAATATTTTCAAACCTTCTTAGCTAAACCAGCACAAACAAGCCAGAATGCAATGGCCTTAAAAATAAAAAGGTTCCTAGTAAGTTTTATACTATCTAGCACAGTGCCTAGCACAGGCAGACATCGAATAAATATTTGATGAATGCACTATCTTTTAAGACCATTTCCTACAGTGATATGTATTAATGATTTATGAGTAATATGTTGATTTAGGGTACACAGATCTAACATGATGACTACACAAAGAACACATATAACATGGAAACAGACACTGTTAGTTTCTATAATCCTGCCCCAGGACAGAATGTGTACTTGAAGGATTAAAACTATTCCAATAATAAAAATTGATTAGTCAAATATTTTTATTTTGCCAAGGGACTCTAACAGCCTTTGGCAATTCCCAAACATACATGAACCCCAACAAAATAAAACCAAATTGCACTATCACAAAGAAACAAGTCCATGAAGGCAAAGGAGGTGCCAGTTAAGGAACAGCAACTTCAAGGAGACGGTTGTTTTTTCGTTTGCACGTTGGGACACTGCCATTTTTCTGGTTGCCCTGAATAAACTTCACACATACTTTGTCCTGTCTGAACTGCACCAGGAACCTAGGAGAAAAGAATAAAACAAATTAAAGTACACATAAAACAGCTGATGATTACAGTAACACTAGCTTTTGTTTTTTAATGGATATTGATCCTGACAAGTATAAGCCTTCCCCATTATCACTTCATACACAGAATTATATCACTGCATTTGACTTCCAGCACTCACCATTTAGCCCCCTAAGTAAACTGAAGTTCATTAACTCAGCATATTCCAGGAGGGTAAGAAGGGAGAAGAATAATTATTTCCATGTTTCAAATGGAAAGATCAACATGTTATATCTCCATTTTTTGTGTGGCAAAAATATAAATTGGTGGAGGAGTCCTATTAAATTATCAATAAACTGAGAAGATAAATAATTTCAGAAAAGAAAGGGGTTTAGAGACTTTTTCCAAACACTGGTTATTCACATATTTCCTACACAACTTTTGTCATATCCACATGGTATGCTAATAGTTATTTCTAGGCTAATGTATTCCAAAATAATAGTGACACACAGAATAAAAAGAATAAAATCACAAATTTGATCTGCCACTTTTTTCTAATACTCATTAAAGATATTTATATAAAAAAATCATTAAAAATTTTCAACTCCATCAGTATACACCTAAAACCATTTCTTATCCCACTAATGGCACACTGTGGGAAACCATATTCTATTCTAACTCTTTCCTTTGACAGACTAGCAGGGGCCACATGACTGTCCACAAGATTACTCTTCACCCCTTGCCTGTGCTGGGTGATGTCAGAGGCACCCACCTGCATAAAATGAGGCCCCTGCCCTCAAGGATGACATCACTGGGAGCCACAACAGCAGCAAGGCTAGACCAGAAACCGGGTCTTCCCATCTCAAAACCAGTGATGTTTTCTCTCCACCTTCATAATCAGCGTAATATTATCACGTTTTCCACGTTTCTCAGTGAACAGTTTTCCAAGTTATTGGCACATTATTACATGAGTCAGCCTCACCACCACCTGACTGATCATTCACTGACATCTACAGCAATGACGAGGAGCTAAACACCTCTGCCCTGTATACCCTGAAGCAGAGGCTGATGTATAAAGAGGTCAGGTTTTGCAAACATTATCTACTGGAGTGAAATGTGACACACAAGCTTCTAATTCACCAGTTGTTTTAAAAGGATAGTACTTCTGACCTTTGAAATGGGTTCTTTTCATTTTGAAAGCACTGAAAAAAAAAACCCCACTGTTGTTCCAGATTTGCCTATCTGAGATATGTCTGTGGCATATATACTTATATCTACATGCCTCAGAGAAATAAAGACATCTTTTGAATTTAATGCAAATTCACACGTTCTAAAAATCAAATACTTTTACATTTTGATTTTCAAAGACCACTTATACTGTAATAAATGCTTAGGAACTTCATTTCCCAATAACTTTAGCAAACATTAACTGTCTGTATTCACAATTCATGATTGAGATTCATGCTAGAAATAACAATAGCTAAAATTTATTGAGTATTTACCACATACAACACTGTTCTTAATTACATATATTAACTCAGCTTTAAAACAATCCTAGAAGGTAAGTACTATCAATTACCTCCATTTCACAGAAAACTGAAAACCATCCTCCAATCCTCCAGCAAACAGTAATGTGGAAAGCATTACTTTATAGCATTAATACCAATTAGAACTTCATAGTAAAAGGAACATAGTTTAGTTGTTTGAAATTAAAATATTTAGAAAAACTGTGTGATTTAAATGATATGCATATATACACATATATTTTAAATGTTTCGTAGAACAAATCCTTCCCCCCCCCCCCCCCCCCTTCATGATTGAGATTCATGCTAGAAATAACAATAGCTAAAATTTATTGAGTATTTACCACATACAACACTGTTCTTAATTACATATATTAACTCAGCTTTAAAACAATCCTAGAAGGTAAGTACTATCAATTACCTCCATTTCACAGAAAACTGAAAACCATCCTCCAATCCTCCAGCAAACAGTAATGTGGAAAGCATTACTTTATAGCATTAATACCAATTAGAACTTCATAGTAAAAGGAACATAGTTTAGTTGTTTGAAATTAAAATATTTAGAAAAACTGTGTGATTTAAATGATATGCATATATACACATATATTTTAAATGTTTCGTAGAACAAATCCCCCCCCCCCCCCGCCCCAAATTCACTTTTGTTTTCACTATCTTCGGGACTTCATTACTAGAAATACTATACATCTTGCAGGTTGCCCTTAACATACAATCTATTTACAGACTGAGCAGTTTGGGACATTAAGGGTCAGGAATTACAAGGCAGCTGAGTTTCAATGAATTCAACTCTCACTTCCACATGTGCAGGTTAAAACTGCACTAAGGAGCAAACGAGACTTTGACTCTGTTCTCATAAACTGACATCCAGTTTATCCATAATGATTACAGAAACTGGGTTTGTTAGAATAACTAGTACTTCTGAAAAGGATACAAGATTTAGTCACTGAACTGTGTGCTGTTTACAACACACGCTTCTGTACAGCTGGCAACAAACCGGAGTAAAGCTCACAGGGCTGAGGCATACAGGCACAGGCACCCCTGCTCGTGACTTTGAAAAATTGTGTTTAAATTTAAAATGCTCTCTAAGCAGATTTTTAATCCCTGCTTAAGAGCTCCCAGGGGTGATGAAACAGGCTGCACTGGAGACTTACTCTCCAGGCTTCCTGGGATGCCAGGGGAAGGAACCCACAGATGCTACGCAAGGCTCTATCAGCTCTTTTATTTTTAAGTGAACAACCAATAATTAGGAATTGGAGAAGGAAAGGTGTTACAATGCTACCAAATGTTTATTTTCTTCATGTGGCCACACTGTAAATCTTCACTCAGACAACTATGTGTACTGTAAGAAAGTTTACGGCAGCCAGAATGTAAAGCTGGGTCATAGACCCCTCATATGCAGGTAAAGAACCCGGGACCCATTGGCAGACGACATGAGCTTAGTCCTCAGCAACAGCAGCAGTAGTAGCAGAAGCAGCAGCTGTGGTGGCCTCTCGGGGCATCACTGTGGCACTAGCAGCAACAGCCTCCAGCAGCAGTAGCGGCCTCCCTGTGGCCCTCCTGGGGTCGTCCTGGGAGTGGGAGGCCCCATGGATCAGAGGCACTCCTCCTTTATATTTAAGTCCATAGCCCAGGACACCTGGGTGCACATGTGCAATTACATTCGATAATAACCAAGGAATACCTGGTGCATGCATATTTACATCAAATGCTTGGCAAGATTCTAAACATCTGAGGGACCCTGACCATCCTATATTTTCCCACACAGAATATCACACGTTCCTCTGTGACAGGGCAGGGTCCCTGCAGCCCACAAGCAAACTAATCCGAAGAGTACTTCCCAGATTGTGTGCTTCCATTGGAGGGTGTCAGGCTGGGTCACAGACCCTTCAAACCTCTTATGGACAGACTGGGTCACAGACCCCTCATATGCAGCTAGGTAACTGGAAAAGATCTTGGGAGCTGTTGGCAAGGTTGACATGCTTTATTCGGATGCAAGCTCAGTCCCCAGCCTCCTAAGCAGCAGCAGTGGCAGCTTACAGTAACTCCAGCAGATCCAGGAGCAGCAGCCTAGTAGACTCCCGGGGCATCCCAGGGGCACTGTGGATCAGAGCCGTTTGTCTTTTATACTTAAGTCAGATAACCCAGGGGCACCTGGGTACAAGTCCGATAACCAAACAACACTTGGGCACACATGCGCAATTACATCAGACAATAACCAAGAACACCTGGCGCACGTGCACAGGTAACATATTTACATTAAACAGGCTACGTCACTGTCAGCAAGATTCCGAACATCTGAGGGAGCCTGACCATTTGTCTATTTTCCTTACAGAGGGGTTCTGTGCCTGACTGCATTTGCGAAACACAGCACACACTATCCCCCCGAAGTCCCTCAGGAGAGTCACAGTGGGCAACAAGATTTCAGAGGATCTGAGAAGTGCTGTAGTAAAGAAAGATTTTAAATTTCCACCAGACAACATTCTTTTCACAGCATATTGTTATTAGCATCCTGCAAGAGCAGTGTTCTTAAAACACTGGATTGGGAAATGCTTAAAAGTAGCAATCCTTTGTGGTCTAATTTTGGTTTGATTTCTTTTCTCTGTACAAATGACCTTAATAATGTAGTGGGCTAACTAGGAGGCTGCTTCATTCATATACCAAAGAGCTTCTGCCATACTGAATACATATGATCTTCCCATGATGAGTGGGAAATTAGCAGTCTCATCAAAGCCCATTATCCCAAATTATGAAAAACTTCAACTAAAAGGATTTTAAAGCTCTAACAGGCCCTAACAGGTTAAAACCTTAATTAACTGGAACCCAGCCAACCATTAACATTTTTCCTAATATTCTTTGTTTTATGAGAAAGGCCTCATTAACAAAAAAGTTATTCAATCCAAACAGCAAGTCTCAATGCAGAGTACAGATAAAGCCCAATCTCCCACCCATCATTCTTGGTGTTCAATGACAACTGATGACAAGCCTAAGGCACGGTAAATCCTAACATATCAAAGAGTTGAAATGGGTTTGAATTTAAATTAGAAAGACTTAGGAAAAACTGAAACAGAATAGATGAGAATATCTTAATTAGAAAATAAAATCACTTCCTGAGCAATCTGGTTATACAAATTTTTACTAAACATACAAAGAAGTATATAAGCAGGTAGTAAACAACCTATTGAAAAAGCAGTCAACTAAGTATCAATCAACACAGTAATTTAAATTTGTCCAAACAATTCACATTGATAAATTTGATAAACAGGGGGATGCGACATCCTGTATGCAAATAATCAGCTTCTGTAATCAAAACCCTAATGTGAAGTAAAAAAACCAAATTTTAAATTTATACCACTCAACACTAATAAGCCTTTGTCAACACGGAACTGCCTATTCTATAACTCTAATTATCTATATATAAATAATAAGGTCACCTCAAATCTAAGCATGCAAAAAAGAACTCGATTTCACTCCACCCCTGCCACCCACCAAATTTTAAATTTATACCACTCAACACTAATAAGCCTTTGTCAACACGGAACTGCCTATTCTATAACTCTAATTATCTATATATAAATAAAAAGGTCACCTCAAATCTAAGCATGCAAAAAAGAACTCGATTTCACTCCACCCCTGCCACCCCAAACCACTTTCCCCAGTCTTAACTACTGCAATAAATGGTACCACTGTTTGGGTTCAGGTCCCAAACATAACACCCAAACCGTTAATAAGTCCCAATTGTTTTCCTTCAAATTACATTCAAAATCCTCTCAACCAGCTAAGTTATACAGTAATTTTTTGTTATCTGTAGCCTCCCTATATTGCTATAGAACACTAGATCTTATTCTTCCTATCTAGTTACAATTTTGCATCCACTGACAACCCTCTCTCCTTCTCCCCTCCCCTTACCAGTCTCTAGTAACCACTATTCTACTCTCTAGTTCAATGAGATCAACTTTTTTATCTTCCACATATGAGTGAGAACATGTGGTATTTCTCTTTCTGAGCCTGGCTTATTTTACTTAATTTTCTTCAGGCTCATCCATGTTGCTATGAACGGCAGAATTTCACTCTTTTCTACGGCTGAGTAGTATTCCATTGTGTATATCTACCACATTCTCCTTATCCAGTTGTCCACTGATGGACACCTAGGTTGGTTCCAAATCTTGGCTACTGTAAACAGAGCTGTGATGAACACGGGAGTGCACGTATCCCTTCAACATGATTATTCCCATCCTAGTAGATGGACTGCTGGATCGTATGGTAGTTCTATCTGTAGTTCTTTGTTTTGGTTTGGTTTTTTATTGAAATGCATTCATTATACATATTTGTGGGGTACAGAGTTGAATATCAACACATGTATACACTGTGTGATGATCAGATCAAGGTAGCATAACCCAACCTGTTACTAAGTCCGCTTGTTTCCTTCAAATTACACTCATAATCTGACAACTCACTGCCTCTCACTCACACTCTAGCTTAAGCATATTATCCTAGACAGCGTGGGGAGTCTCCTAACTTATCTTCTCTGCTTCCACCCTTGCCTCCCAACAGTCACCCTCTACGCTGCAGCCAAAGTGATCTTTGAAAAACAAATCAGATCGTGCCACACCCTTGCGAGTCTCCTAACTTATCTTCTCTGCTTCCACCCTTGCCTCCCAACAGTTACCCTCTACGCTGCAGCCAAAGTGATCTTTGAAAAACAAATCAGATCGTGCCACACCCTTGCTCAAACCTATAATGGCTTTCCAGCATTCTCAGTAAAATCTCAACTCCTCAGCTCAGCTACCAGGCTGCACATGGCCAGCCCCTACCTCTCTCCAGGGTCTTCTCCTACCATCCCACTCTGCTACAAAGTTCTCTCCTGTCTCAGGGCCTTTGCACTGCTGTCCGCCTGCCCTGGATGGCATCTCCTTAGATCACGGCCTGGCTTGCTCCCTTCCTTGATTCACCACAAAGAGGTCTCCCTGACCCCCCTAACAAAAACAACATCCTCTGACACTTAACTTTTTTTTTCCCAGCACAAGCACGTGTCTTGTCACTAGCCAAAATAATATAACCTATTTATCGCCTTATTTGTGTATATTTGTTTCTTCCACTAGAATGTCAGGTACACAATGGCAGGGACTTGGTCAGTGTCATTCACTGCCCATTCATCATCTAGCACAAATACTAGACATATACTCAGTACTTAATAAGTAGTTTTGTTAATGAATGAGATCAGAGAGTCAAACTAAAACAATAAAGCTGAAAGTGAAAAGTCATATTCAAACAATACATGAACATACTCATCGGAAATTTCAATGTTGAGCTTCTGTTTGGTTTGGCTGAGAGTCGTGCGATACAGCTTGGTGGCCATTTCAATCAGGTGATCACTGCTGAAGAGAAAGTCTCCTTTACTAGCTGCTTCTGAGCCCTAAAAGGACAAACCAAGAATCACACCATTAGAGTTAGAACAGCTTAGGAGGTCAATGTTTACAGGATTGGCTGAGAATGTATTTACAGTCTCTTTAGAACACCAGACACTGGAGTCCATTCTCCCAAATTAGACAATAATAACAAAAGCAGTATTTCTTCCAACTGGCTTAGAGCATGTGAGTAAGGTTACCTAACCCCTCACTACCCAAAATTGGCCAACGGACCCAAAGTATCACCTGCATCCCCTGGGAGCTTGTTAGAAAAGCAGAAACTCAGGTCCTACTGTGGGCCCAGTGATTATGAGTCCACGACAACATCCCGGGGTGACAGGTTTGCACATTCTGGTTTGAAGAGCACTGACCTAACCTACAACTCATACTGAAAAAGCTGTTTAAAATCTCCTCAGTGATTTGATTAAAAAATAACAACACTTCCAATAACTATCCTAGGACAGGGGCTCTGAACCTCAGCTGCACAAGGGAATCACCTGGGAGAGCTTTCAAAAAATATGTGCCTATTCCCTGTTCCAAGAAATTTTGATTTGACTAGATTGGGGATATGGCCTGAGCATATACATTTTTTAAGTTCTCAAGTTGTTTTAATGTGGAATCAAGGTAGAGAATCACTAACAACTTGATATGTCTCCTTCAGGCTGAGATCCACAGTGCAGGAAAACAGGCTGAGGTAATAAGCATTTGAGATTTTTCTAAGTTTAGAGCCAGCCAGATAGTGGCACTACCAGCTGGATGCATGTCCCTGAATATGATTAACATTTGTTAATATGTGCTTATATAGTGACTATGTGTCATGTGACAGGCACTGTGCTAAGCACTTTACATATGGTGTCCTCACTAAATCCTCATAACCATACTATGAAGTAGGTCCTGTTATTATCTCCATTTCAAAGATGAGAAAAATCAGGCAGGCACACAAAGGTTAAATGACTTGGCCACAGCCATCACGAAGTTAGTGAGAATGATTCCAGGGCCTACACATAACCTCTCCATTCAAGCCAAGAGGTCTAGGTTAAGCTAAAAGCACATAACATTTAAAAATCTTTTAGGTCAACCTTAATAGCAGTTCTTTTATTGTAGCTGTATCCTTTAATTAAAAGTCTCAAATTAAAGATGAATAAGAACACATTTACTAAGTTAGTACACAGAAGAAACAAGAGGAAAAATAATTTAAAACATCTTAATATTTCTAATTATTAGCAGTTCTTTTATTGTAGCTGTATCCTTTAATTAAAAGTCTCAAATTAAAGATGAATAAGAACACATATACTAAGTTAGTACACAGAAGAAACAAGAGGAAAAATAATTTAAAACATCTTAATATTTCTATGTGTTAGTCTCAAAAAGTCATATTCAATTATTGAGAAATCAAGCCTGAGATTTTCCATAGGGGTGAACACTGCCAAAATTTGCACATCAGTGAGGAAGATATATAAACTTCAGGCAACAGAATTAGTCAGATGGGCAAAATTTTTAAAGTAATGGCTGGGAGACTGGACAAATGCAGAAATCTCTTAGTCCCTAGTTGAAAATTTACCTCTTTCAGGTGGACAGCGAAGAAGCCATCATTTTGTGAGCTCATTGATACCTTGGTCACATCCACAAGGGGAACCTCTGACTTGATTTGTCCAGACTTTTGATCAGCAAGAAGGAGATTATTATTTGTTAAGAGAAAAATCCGGGATGTACTCTAAAACAAAAGAAAAAAGGATGTAAAACCAATGATCAAAAATACCTAAAAATGGTCCATAAATTTAAAGCATTCATTATTTGCAGGAATGCACATTTTATTCCAACATCTTTCAGCAAGCATACCTATGTAAAACAATTACATACTAAAGAACATAGATAATATATTTTAATTCATAAAAATTTCAGAGAACCAGCAAAATTCTACCAAAGCTTAAAGGTAAAGGAAAATAGCCCCCTTCGCAGTTACTCTACCGAGAATATGAAATGCAAATTTTAATATTCAGAAAACTAAGGATGACTTCCAACTAATAAAGATTTCTTATCAGTCTTCAGGGTTAGCATTTTTACCTTCCCATTAGCACGATTAATTTTGTTCACGGCTTCAGCAATAATGATCTTTTCTTCAATGGCATCTTTGAGTTTCTTATACTTGGGATTTTTGTTGATTTCCAAGTAAGCCCCTTGGAATGGCTGCCCAACACTAAAGGAAAAACATTCCTGTACATTAGAAACGGTTTCAAATGGAAGTACTACTGGAAAAAGGAAACAGGTCAGTTGATTCTAAGGAGTAGCTGACAACTTCAAAAAAAGTTATTTCAATTTATTTCCTATATTAACCTTGTACCTGTCCTAAATATAAAACACTCAGAGGAACAGCTAAGACTCAAGTGCATGGCCTCATGTGAAGGAAAAGGCAATTTCTTCTAATCTATTAATATGAAGTTAACAACTCCCTGCAAAGGATTTACTAACACCTTAAAACAATATATGGCAGTGAAAAAAGAGTTGAAATCATTGCTATCACCTGCTCCAAAGAAAATTTCATTTTCTTGAAGAGAATAAGAAAATCAATAGGCCTTCTGGGGAAGAATGGATCCAAGGCAATCAGTTTAGAAGAAAACTATAGAGCACTTAAGATTACCATGTAACTCCAGTTCGAACAGTGACAAAAGTGGCCAAGGCAAACATTCAGAATCAGAGCAGTTTTCCTTCACACAAACTACTTTTCACTAATATGCCAACTTCCCTAAAGACTTGTGGGGGTGACTATCTCAGGGCAGCTTTTTCAAAGACACCAAGAAAAAACTGCTGCTTCAAGGGATCCACAAGCTTCATTTTGAGTTATAAAATTCTGGCAATTTGCAGAAACAACTTTAAGTGTTTGTGCAGTGGGCAGAGAAGCAGGGAAGAAAAATCCACGTAGGTGGTCAGTGTTTCACAGCTCTCAGGATATAGAAGACTGATACCCACAGAGCTGCACTTCACAGTGGTGGGAGGTAAATTATCCCACCTCTCGCTGTTGTAGGCTGAGATTGCCACCATCCCTGAAAACTGATAAAACTACTCAAAATGGACTTGGCTGGAAGTTAACTTTTTTGTTCATCTTCAAATGTGTTTTTAATAATAAAAAGTGCTGACAGGCTTTTAATTTGTTTCCTCAAAAATGTATTTTCCAGCCTCCACTTTCTGAAGTCATCTACAGGGAATGTTCATTAAGGTTACCCTCTAATTTAAAAATACATGCAGAAAAAGTTGAATAAAATTAGTTGCTGAAGAAAGCACATAGACAATTTTTCTGTCTGAATGTGCTTTATATAACAGGCACTATGGAAAACTTTGGATTTCGTCACCGTGTTTGACTTAAGGGAATATATACCACCTCCAGCAGCCACATCAGCTAACCAAAGAAGCTGTGCAATTTAAAATATTTAAACCCAATGAGTGTGGCAACTCATATTCATTTAATCCTTTAAAATGTATATAAAGACAGAGAATATAAATATCACATATGTAATACATGTGAATATACTTCACACACTTTTATTTCCAAGCCATTCTTTGGAAAAAGCTAAAAGTTGTTATAGATTTAGTTTGAAATAGCACAATCTACTTTATTTTTATAAACACCAGATGAAAAAGGGATAGGAATTCTGGGACAAATGATGA